AAAAAAAAAAAAAAAAAGGGAAAAGAAGGTTATTAAAAACCTTAGGCTTTCAAACAGTAGCCCTTTTCTCATACTGGTAGTATACATGATGTAATAGCAAGTGGCTACAAAGAAAAAAATGTCAGATTCCTTCTACCTCAACTAAAGAATCTACCTAGATACCTAAAAATGGTTTCTTTCTCTCTCTCTCTTTCCTTTCTTTCTTCCTTCCCCTTCCTTCCTTTTTTCTCCTTTTCCTTTCTTCCTTCCTTCTAATTGCCAGAGGGCATACATACTTGTTGGAGAGAGAAAGACACAGAGAGAGAGCAGCAAAGTTAGAAAGCACACTCCATGGGGGATGGTCATGCCACAATCCCATCTCCTCCATATCTCTTTTTGGGATTCTGGGCATGTACATAAATGTGTCTGGCGTGTTTTTCAAGTCACTGGTTCCAGGACTCAAACTCAACTATGCACTCAGCTATAAGGGATCTAACTCTTCAACCATTGTGCCATGGGCTGACCAATTATTTCTGCATCTACACACAAAAAAACCCCTCGCATTATATATATATATATAAATCAGATATGTATATATATATATATATATGTATATATATATATATATGTATATATATATATATGTCTGTATATGTATGTCTATATAAAGATCAGATAGAAACTGAAGAAGATAGCAACAGTTTATAACTTGTTTGACTAACAAACTGTGTATCAATTATTGACATGCAATGGACACTTTTTTCTTTATTTTATATATTTTGGTATTGGTATATCATGATACTGATAGGGCTGTTTTAGTAACATCCAAACTGTAGTAGAAATATTCTTTTCAATTTTTATGCTATCCAACCTTCTCCTTCTTTGAAAGTCCACTTCGAATGACTAAAGTTTACTAAAATTTCATAACGTATATAGCACTATTAAAGATATATGGAATTTATATCATACTAAAGAAAAATGAGAACTAATTCTAAAAGTAAAGGAATAGAAGCATAAGCAAAATGTGCATTATGAAAATAAGAGAAGGAAACAAAAAGGTGAACTTAATCCTTGTTAAGAGGGCAAAGAAAGGGGAAGAGGAAAACTAGGACAATGATGTAGGCAGGGCCAGATTGTTGACCTTTAATCACTTTAAAAGTTTTGAGCACCTGGCAATGGGCATGCATTCAAAATATTTTGTTGAATGAGTAATACTCGTGAGCCAAAGGGTTAAGGACTCAAAAGACCTGGGGACAGTGGAAACACTAAATAAAAAACTGTTTGAAGCTCAATTTAGGACTAAATAGGCTAAAAAGGCTTTGGTGTTAGGGGAGAATAGATAAATCATTAAGTAGCCCCAGAGTAATTAATATATTTACTTTTTGAAGGGCTAGATGTTCTGAAGAAAGCATAGTTTCTAGAGGTAAGCAATTCCGAAGGTCTTCTGCTATGCTTTTCAACATAATGTCATTATTATCTTGAGTGAATTCATCAAAATCTCCTGGGGGAAAGAAAGAAAGAAAAAAAGAAAACAAAATTAGCTCTTAGGGCCATTCAATGGCATAGTAGTTAAGGAAGCTGGATCCCACATGGCTGACTGCACAGTTTGTGTCCTGAACCCAGTAGTTTGAAAAAAACACAGTGAGCATGTGTATGTGCGCGTGTCCAAAATCTCAAAAAGGGAAAGGATGGAGGAGAAAGGACTGCCATGTGGTCATCTGCCCTAGGGAGTGCTTTTTCCCTTTTCTTCACGCTGTCTCTCTGGGGCAAGCATACATGCCCTATAGCAAAATAAAGAAATAAAAGAAAGCTCTTATAGTTATGGTCATACCTAGATTAAGTGATTGCAATGGATATATTTTCTATCAGGTACCATCAATTTATGATAAACCCAACCAATGGCAGATTCAACTCCTACATACATTTTTTTTTTCTTTTTTCTTTTTTGGAGAGGTTTTTGCTATAGGACACATGCGCTCGCCAGAAAGACAGAGATAGAAAGTGAGATGGCCATACCACAATCCCTTCTCCTCCATTCTCTTCTCTGGATCTTGGGCACACACGCACACGTGCCTGGCATGAGTTGAAGCCACCAGGTCCAGGATTCGAACCATGGTCAACTACATGGGAGTCCAGTGACACAGCTATTATGCCAACTGCTGGTCCCCCTATATGCATTTAAAAATAGAATTTCCTTTTTTTCCAAACTGCCAATCATATAAAAGGAAAGCCATTAAAAAATATACAGAACTTCGGAACCAGCAGATGGTGTAATGGTTATGTCACTGGACTCCCACAGAATCAACCACAGTTCAAGTCCCAGATCCAGTGGCTTAAAACTCATGCTTGGCACATGTGCGTGTGTGCTCGAAATTCCCAGAGGATGGAGGAAAAGGGATTGTGGCCATCTCCCCAGGGAGTGATTTTCCCTTCTCTTCTATTCTCCTCTTGGGATCTTGGGCATGCACGCACACGCACCCGGATGAGTTTAAGCCACTGTGTCCGGGACTTGAGCAGTGGTCGACTACATGGGAGTCCAGCAACATAGCCAATATGCCAACTGCTGGTCCCAGTTTTTAGGGTCTTAAACTCACTAATAGTTAGTCAAATCTTTCTTCTCCGATCAGGCAGATCTTAGAAATTTAGGAGGCATCACTCAGACCTTATGTAGATTCTTTGTCTACATTATTTGCTTTACTAAGAAGATAACCATAATCCGAGTATCCCTATCCAAGAAAGTGTACTCAAGACTTTAGGTTATAAACACTAACATCCTAACAAGTGGCATCAACAGTCATGCTGCTCTGCTACACTATAGCAGTAGATAATCACTGAAATAGTGTATTTCCAATGGCTGTGGGCTACTTTTGGATGAACTGACAAAAGAGGAGAGTGTGTAAGTGTGTGTGAACAAAGATGGAGCAAGTACAGTGAGAGAGTGACATTTGGTGAATCTAGGTAAGAGTGTTAAAGTGGTGTTTATTGTTCTGTTGCTTCATCCTTTGTAGGCATAAATTTTTTTTTTAAAGTTGGCTCTAAAAAAAGTACCATTTCTAGGCTAGCAGGTGGCATGATAGTTTAGGTGCTGGATCCCACATGGCTCACTCTGAGGTTTGAGTCCCAGACCCAACAGCCTGAAAAACGACAATGGTGTGTGTGTGTGTGTGTGTGTGTGTGTGTGTGTCCAAAATCTGAAAAGGAAAATGGAGGATATGAGACTGCAGTGTGGTCACCTCCCTGAGGGGTGATTTTTCACTTTTCTTCTCCCTTTGTGTCAATCCACCCTATGGCAAAAAAAAATCTTTCAAAAAAAAAAAGTGTCATTTCTAAGCTACTCATATACAAAGAACAACTTAGAAATGTACGGCACGTGTGCAATACAAATAGAAGGTGACTTTATTTTAAGTAAAATACTCTTGAAATCAGCTACTATCTAAGATGTTAAATATACACTGAAAAAAAAAGTTCTAATAAAATAGAACAGTAGAAAACAAAATATTTTACCTTTTTCTTAAAAGACTTTCTTACACTGAATTCTTGCTAGCAGAAAAGAACATCAAGGGGATTGCCTTTCTTTCACCTTCTCAAACATCAAATGATTCTGCCTTTGTTCAGAATGCTATTTTCATGCCAAGAATAAAAATTTGCTGGGAACAGCAGTTGGCACAGTGGTTGAGGCACTGGACTCCCACATGGCCAACTGAGGTTTGAGTCCTGCACCTGGGGGCTTGCTCTCTCATTTTCTCTGTCTCTCTCTCTGATCAAATTAAAAGTAATAATACTGAATAAAATTAAATAATTATTGTTTTTTAATTTGGATGATGTTTTACAGTTTTAAAAGTTCATTTATATAGTGACCAGCAGTTGGCATAATGGCTATATTGCTGGACTCTCATTTATATATATATATATATATATAATACTTTTATATATATATATAATCAACCCCCAGGGGGGATGGCCATGCCGCAATCTCTTCTCCTCCCTTCTCCTCTTGGGATCTTAGGCACGCATGCACATGCGCCCAGCGTGAGTTTAAGCCACCGGGTCCGGGATGCGAACCGCAGTTGACTACGTGGGAGTCCAGTGACATAGCCATTACGCTAACTGCTGGTCCTGTCACCTAACTATTCTAATACCCATAGGTTGAAGACAAAGCAAGATTATATTCCCCTGCTTTACAGATTAGAAAACTGAATCTTCTAAAATTAAATGAATCAACAAAAATCAAAATGTAGGCCAATGGTGGCACAAGGACATATGTCTATGTTTTCTGTGTGTGAAAAAATGTATTCTTTTCCATTATAACACTTTATGTCCTTTTATACAAAGATTGTCTACATAACTTCTCTTTGAGCAGTAATACCAAGATACATTATTTGGTTCTCTGAACTAATGTGGGAAGACCTTTGGCTCTTTTTCGTTACTTAACATATCTTTTATAATGTTCTAAGTTACCATTTCAAATTATTACTAGAAGGAGCCAAATGTATAGAGATGAAAATTATTACCAAGAAAGGGGTGTGGTTGTTGAGGCACTGGATTCCCACATGGCCGACCACAGTTTGAGTCCTGGACCTGGAGGCTTGAAAATCACATTGGTACATGTGCAAGCGCATCCAAAATCTCAAGAGTAGGAAGGACAAAGAACTGCAGTGTGGCCCTTCCCTTTAGGGAGTGATTTCTCACTTTTTCTCTCTCCTGCAAGTATGTACTGACCTATGGCAAAAAAAAAAAAAAAAAAAAGAATCACTTGGGTTCTAGGAGATTTCTAATATGCATCATAGATGTTTCTCCTTTCTTAAAGGCCTTGTATTTTTATTCCTCAATACATACCCACACACCTGCTGGCTCTCCCCTCTAGCAGGCAGTGGTAGCCAGCCAGCCCCCCTGGTTAAACTGAGAAACCAAGCAGAGATTGTTCCCCTACCCACTGGACTTGACTTCTAATTCAGAGATAAACTGAGGTACAGAGAAAGAAACTGTCAAAAGCACATTTACCAAAGGCAGCCTACATGGAGAGCCCTCTGCAGTCTGACCAAAGTCTGAGTTGCTTGGGATCATTTTCCTAGTCCCTTTCCTGGGGAAAGATAAGTAACTCATGAAATTTGAATCAAAGGGGGAGGATACTTGCCAAGAAATAGCATGATGGACACATATCATTCCAGGTCATCTAATGTCTCACTTACCTCTTCTTAACCTTTTCTCAGCCCGTCTCCTACATGCGTTCAATTTTAAATACATACATACATACATACATACTATTAAAAGAGAAGCCTTGGGAGACCAGCAGGTGGCATAATGGTTACATCACTGGACTCCCACGTAGTTGACTGCAGTTTGAGCCCCAGACCCAGCAGCTCACAACTCATGCCAGGTACATGTGTGCCCAAGGTCCCAGGAGGAGAATGGAGAAGAGACGGAACCATAGTCATCCCCTCTGGGGGTGATTTCTCATTTTCTGTCTGTCTCTCTGGTGAGCAAACATGCCCTGTAGTATACATTTCTTTAAAAAAAAAAAAAAAAAAAAGAAAGAAAAGAAAAGAAGCCTCAGGACCAGCAGATATTGTAATAGTTATGTTGCTGGACTCTCACATGGCCAATGGTTCAAATCTCAAACTCAGTGGCTTGAAACTCAGCATGAGTGCGTGTATGTACATGCCCAAGATTTCAAGAGAATAGACTGCGGGATGGCCACCCCCCAGGGGATGATTTCTCACTTTGTGTCTCTCTTTATCTCTCTGGTGAGCACATGAGCCTTACAGCAAAATTAAGTCTCCCTTAGGGGCCAGCGGGTGGTGTGGTGGTGAAGGCACTGAACTTCCACATAGCTAACCACAGTTGGAGTCCCAGATCTGGCGGTTGATTTCTTGGTTTCCCTTTCTCTCTCTCAATGGTCAAATAAAATAATAAATGAAATAAAAATGAAATGATTCTTCTTTAAAAAAATTCTCTCTTAAGAATAAAAGGGAGAAGCTTTAAACCAGCAGATGGCATAATAGTTATATCACTGGACTCCCATGTAGCTGACTGCTGTTCAAGTCTCAGACCTGGTGGCTTAAAAAACTCATGCTGGGTGCCTGTGTGTACATGCCCAAAATCCACAGAGGAGAATAGAGGAGAAGGGACTGCAGTGTGGCCAATCCCCCCGGGACGGGGGTGATTTCTCACTTTCTGTCTCTCCGGCAAGCACATGTGCCCTATAGCAAAAATCTCTCTTAAAAAAAAAAAGAAAAAAAGGGAATCAGCAGTTAGCGTAATGGCTATGTCGCTGGACTCCCACGTAGTCGACCGCGGTTCGCGTCCTGGACCCGGTGGCTTAAAACTCACGCCGGGCGCGTGTGCGTGCGTGCCCAAGATCCCGAGAAGAGAATGGAGGAGAAGGGATTGCGGCGTGACCACCCCCCCGAGGGGTGATTTCTTGCTTTCTGTCTGTCTGTCTCTCTCTGTCTGGCGAGTGCATGCACCCTATAGCAAAAATCTCTCAAAAAAAATAAATAA